AGGGGGAGAGAACGTGTGCTTCAAGAAAGGTGCAACCAGTGTTAAGCACTTGAATTGCCACACTACTGGGTTTTTCTGGAGGGGGGGGGGGGAGAAACTCCCCAACTTATTTTTGTGGGGAAAATTAGTTGTTGAAAGGAAATAATATTGTAACAACCTGAATTCTGTTCCACTCAGAATCAGAGTATTCCTTAAGGTGTTAAATGGTGAAATTGACTAGTGTGGCATTTTCTGGAGCTTGGCAGCCTTGCCTATAGTTCACACAATACAGGCCTTGTCAGTATTATTCCGCTCTTTTGCTCTTGGGGCATTGTTTCTTTTGCTGCCTATTAACTAACTGTAAAATATTATTATTTTTGTAAAATAAACACCTTTTTTCTCCTAACATGGTTGTCCTAAACTACCCAAATGGACAAATTCATGGCAGAGAGCTCCCTGATGGGCTTCATCTTGAATATATTTCCTAGCATTTGTAGGTTTCAGTCACAGCTAAAAAAGTTCTTTAACAACTTGTAGTAGAGGGTTTCTTACACTCACCAAAAGCTCCTGGAACGTTACAAAGCTTGTATGCCCATTTCACAGATACACGTGGGTTAGGTAAAGTTTTTAGGTTGCATGTTAAAACAGCCTTTAAAGGTCTTCCAAGAAAATTGATTTTTTGCACATGTTTAATGGTGGCATTCTGAAGCTCAAATATTTGAAGCAGCTTTAAGTTATTTTTCAAAATACCCAGAATGACTAAGAACTTACTGTAAAATTGCTTTCAAAGCTGCATTTAAGTTCTAGAAGCATAAAGTATCCTAGACCCGATCCCTGCAAGCTAATCTGCTTGGGTGAGCCCTTGTTAGGGTGACCAGATGTCCCGATTTTATAGGGACAGTCCTGATTTTTGGGTCTTTTTCTTATATAGGCTCCTATTACCCCCGCACCCCCGTCCCAATTTTTCACATGTGCTGTCTGGTCACCCCATCCCTTGTGGAGACCTGTGGACATGGGCAGAGCTCTGCAGAGGTACAAGGCTCCCTCCACATAAATTGCCTTTGCAGACTTTGGGGCCTTAAATAGTAAGAAAAATCATTTTAACTCCTTCATGCACATGCTATAAGACAGTATAACAGAATTAGGTGACTAAAGACGCTCTTTAGACAAAGGCCTGTGCTCAGGATCTAAGCTTCTAGATACAGTTCTCTGCTGATGGTATTTTAATCCAGACTTGCAACACCCCCCACAGTTCCAGTTTGGGGCATTTCCCACACACACAGTTGCTTAATTGTCCCATGTTGTACAGTGGCTTTGAGGGGTACGTGTACTCGGGCTCTGGCGGGATACAGTAAAGCAGGATTTACAGCAGGATCTCCAAAGGTGAAGAGCTACTGCACCTGCTGAGATGCCTTTTTAGGGCATGTGCCATGCAGGGGTGAGGGCTGTGGCCGAATGATTAAATCTTTTTGGACTTCTAGGAAAGAGGTTAGATCAGAAAATTGGTAAAAATGGTGTAAAAATGTTAGGGCATAGAAGACGTGAATTTGCTCAGATTCTGTTAGTATTGTATGCTCAGAAAATCTCCTTGCCTACAATTTTGAGTAATCATTCATCTGGGGAGTGACTTAGAGGTATAAGGAAGCCAGGGGAAATATTTAGTTGGGCTCTTAAAGATTAGCACAATGGTAATGTTTGTCAAATGCAGTAAGACTTGTATCTGAATGGTCTCATAACTTACAGGGATTCTGGCAAGACTGGTGATGGTTTCTTTTCTTTTTCTGCGGTCTTGTAACAAGATCCAGGTAATTGTAGCCCCTTGGTACAGGACTTACTACGTGTGCACTTTTAGAGTCTAAATAAACAAAGTCAGTAGGTTTTATCTTGCATAGACAACCCTATAATAATAGCGTGTCTACAGAAGAAAGGAAAAATATCTTGCTAAGGAAAAGGGTAGTGCTTTTGTGTTTCCAGAGGTGGCTATACACCAAACTTTATATATAAACTTCAAATATATCAAGATTTTCTTTATCTCTAGATAACTTTTTGGAGAAAAGGAATATGGCCGGAGGAGAAGCCTTTAACAAATCTCTTCCTAAACTATTTTGTGTAAATCTTCCCCCAATTGTGCAGCCGCATACAGCGTTAGCAATGATGTAAGCACTACTGTGGACCGGGTTCAAGTGTTTCTAGCACCCAGTTGTGAAAAACTGCTGCACTTGCTTAAAGAAACATTGTATCAAGGTACTTATTGCTCTTTAAGCACTACTGTACTTTATATTTTACGGCCTCTGTTGAAGCCAAGACCTGCAGGGTTTTCATGACCGTGCCAAAAATGTCTGAGTTCTGTCTACACTAGCTCTTACGCTATTACTTGCCCTGGTGCAAGTGCATTGTTGCTGGAAAACCTGTACAGCATTTTCTAGTGTAGATGTAGCCTGTAGTGGGTTTTTTTGTTTTTGTTTTTTTTTAATGCCGTTACTAGCTCACTGTCTGGTGTATGCTCTCTTTCTAGCTGATCTTGAAGGCCAAGTCAAGCTTTCCAAAAGACCCCTCTTAGTTCCTTGTCACATGCATCAATGTCAACTGACTGTTGGAAAGGGCATAAAATAATGTGTGGGTAAGCACAGCTGAGGTAACTTGCCGCATGAGAGGTGCGGTGCGGGAAGAGGTAGCATAAACCTACACTGCAATTACACTCCCTTTCATCCCTCCCCGACTGTCCATGGGGATGCGTCCCACAAAGGTTTGGGGAGAAGCACTTGGAACCAGCATCCGCCAGGGAGACGAGACACAAGTGAGAAAATTGCTTTGCCGTTGGCACGTTTTCATCTAGATAACTTTTCATTAGACACAAGAAAGTTAGTCACTGCTATTGTGCCGAGTAGCCAACGCTTGGTAATCCAGCACGCGCTGATCTCCAAAGTGTTGGGCAACTCTTCTTCTGTCATGGCATGTAGCTGCGTAGCACTGTTGGCTTTGTTGAAACAAAGACCTAACGTCACAGCAAGAGCTCTGTTCCCCTTGATTTCATTTCTTCTGAACTATCCTTTAGTCCTGATCCCACAACTCAGGTTTGAGCAACTTTTTGCGTAAGGGGACTGGAACTTCCTGCCCTGAAAGGTTAAAGGGCTTTTTCTCCTCCCCCACACACCGATGCCCTTCAGCTTTATTCTGGACCTTTGCTCTGTTCTGCACTGTTTGTTTCAGGGAAGGTTGGGGAATGCAGTGTATTCAAGTGAGAGCTGATTCGTAACCCCTTGTTGCTGGGAGTCATGATCTCCCTGATATGACGCTAAGCTCTAGATTTCCAGTACGAAGGAATTAATTCAGGTGATTCTTATCAATCTTTGCTTTAAACCTTTCCAACTTTTTTTTGGCATCACATCTGTGGTACATGCAGATTGTGAAACGTGATCATTAAGGCTGTGATTTGCATTGGACACCTAACTCACTTAAGCCCGTTTGAAAATCCTACCCATTAATATTTCTGATAGCCACACACACACAAATGAATTGAGCACAGACATGTCTGCAACACTAAATGGGCTACAAGGGTATTGGGTTGCAGGGTTCTGTCCCCCTTTCCTATTATGATACCTAATCCTTTGGCATTCCAGTAAGTAATGTGACATTGTATTTGGGGCACATCAAATAACATCCTAGACAGGGCGCCATTTCAGTGCTGAGTAGCTGAAATACAGGGCTGCCTTTATTCATAATTTTGGTTAAATGTTCCAAGTCTACCTCCCTTCTCCAGGTCCACTGGAACTTGTTATAAGGGCAGATCAGGTGTTTGCACTTTACTGTAAAAAAATTTTTTAAAGGCACAGCCACCATATTTCCAGGTGCAGATAATGCCCACATCTGTAAAGGGTGACTTTAGAAAAATGTAAACCTTAGTGAAAAATTAAACTTAGTATTTGCCTAACTCCAGACACTAGAGGATCTTGGTATGCTTTACAAACACAAACTTAAGCCTCGCAGTATTCCTGTGGGATAAGTATTACCCCTATTTTACTGTCAGGTAAACTGAGGCATGGGTGTTTTCTTGC